TGTTCTTGGCCCCCAGGCATCCGCCATGCATGCTGGCGCCTGCGGCGGCGGCTGCCCCCCGGGGCGGCGGCGGCGGCGGCGGCGGCAAGCGGGCCGCGCGAGGGCGCGAGCGAGGGGGGGGGGGGGCTGCAAATTGCGCAAATCACCCCTCCTTGAGGGGATTCGCAAACAGAGGCCCCTGCCAGAGGGGGCGGATCGATTTTTTGTTGCGCAGATGGCGATTGTGGCGCCCCTCGCATGGGGGTGGGCGGGGGGGGGGGGGGGGGGGGGCGCTTTGGCGACGGAGCGGAGGGGGGCGGGGGCGCGCGCGAGGAGTTCGAGGCGGCCGCGAAGGCACGGTGGCGCAAGTACACGCGGAGCGCCCACGGGTTGTGGCTGAGGAAGCAGAATTGCCGCCAGTGCTGGCAATGCGGGCAGAGATCCTATTTCCAATTGTGCATCTCTCGCCCATGCCAAGAGCACCATGCCGCCCGCTGGTTCCACGAGCGGGGGGATGAAGACCGCAACGGAAGGAGGTGGCGCGGCGGCAAACGCGAAGTGGAGAGGGCACGGCGACATAGGGGTGAAACGCATTCCAATGATGGGGGGTGGGATATACGAGACCACTCAGCACGGGGGACTTTTTCAGATGTTTGACGTTCTGATGTTTTATCTCGCCCGTGCTATTTCTGCACCCTGAAGGCGCTGGCAGCGCAGATGCGATCGCAGGGAGAACGCGCTGCTCGACGCCCCTCCCTTCCCTCCGCGCGGACAAGAAGGGGTCAGCCCCTCCGGCCCCCTGTGCGAGGGGTCAAGCGCGAGGACAAACCCCTCTCGTGGGGGGGATGCGGCGGGGGAGGGTTAACGCAATGGGGCGCCCTTCTCGTGTGTGTGTGTGGGCTGTTATAGTTTGCGTCCCGAGGAGATCGGCGACGCCGCAGGAGGAACGCAGCACCCGACACGGCCACGGCCGCCGCCGTTTCCTCCGCCCGAGGCAATGCTGGCAGCAGCCGCAGCAGCCAACGCAGACGCAGGGGGAACAGCAGCAGCAGCCGCAGCAACGGCAGCAGCAGCAGCAGCAGAACCGCCCGCAGCAGAACCGCACGCAGGATAATATGAGGATGGTGCCGGACAAATCGAATCCTCTGACGGAGAGCATCCGACCCCCGAAGAGGACATGGGCCCCGAAGAGGGGGGGGGGGGAGGGGCCGAGGGAACGCGACGCGGAGGAGCGATGGGACGACGAGCGTCGCAGGCTGATTCGAGAGTTGGCGCTGCTCAAAAGGCAACTGGAGAACGCGGAAAGGGCTGCGGATCGATTGCAAGCGCACGAGGAACGCGTGGCAATATACTTAGAGATGAGGGCGCAGCAGCTGATTGCCCGCCAGTGGCGGCTGCAACACAAGCTGAGGAACGGCGCGTTGAGGGCGGGGGCAGACCAGAGATTGAGGGTTGCAGCCGCGCTGAGAGAGGAAGCGGGGAAGGCAGCCAAGGATGCAGCGGAGGCCGCCGAGCGAGCCGAGCATGCCGAAGCAGCGGCGAAGGCCGCGAGGGCAGCGGCAGCAGCGAAGGCCGCGGAGGAGCGAGCAGCTGAGGAAGCGGCGGCGCGGGCAGCCAGCGCCGAGGAAGCCGCAGCTCAGCAGCGAACAGCTGAGGAAGCAGCCGCTCAGCAGCGAGCGGCCCAGGAAACAGCCGCTCAGCAGCGGGCAGCAAGAAAACAAATGCAAACAGGACAAGGCGAATGGCGAGACGCCAGCAAAGAAGGCGCGCAGAGAGGACAAGGACACCGACAAAGACGAGAGCAGGGGGCTCGGGGGCGAAGCGGCAGAAGAAGAGCTAGGACAGTTTCTTATCGTCGTCCTTCTCGCCCCCTCCTCCTGCTCCTGCTCGTCGCCAGCGCCTCCATGGCCATGGTTCCTGCTGCTGCATTCCCTCATTGTTTATATCATGTGTTTCTTCTTTTCATCCGCCCCACGGCGCCGAGCTCCGAGGTCGGCGTGCCCTGAGCCGACGACGCCCACGCATGCATCTAGAGGGGCGCGATCTCTCGCGCCAGAATAAAACGTTGCGTGCTCAGAATTGCACCCCCTTCATCGCAGGGGAACGCGCGAGAACCCTTGTCAGAGGGGCAACTTGATGGCCATGCCGATTCGCTTAAGGAGGGATTATCTCAAGACAGTTCTCTTAAGAGAATTGCGAGGGCGTCTCAGGCGAAGCCAACGGTTCTCTTAGGAGAATTCTCTGGAGAGAATTCTCTCAAGCAGCGGGGCCCAGATCTGGGCCCCCCCCCCTACGAACACTTGTTTTATGTGTCAGATCATGGTCCCTTGTCGTGGGCCCATAATGTTTGCTGACCGGCACCTTTGCGATAGTTTAGTGAGTCTTAGTGCGCTGTTTGCGGTGGTCGCCGCCGCTGCGTGGGCTGCCTTGTCATCGATTGAATTGGATGTGCTGAGTGCATATCTCGCGCTTTCGCGATCTGGTGGTCACAGGCGCATCGCGGTGATCACAGGCGCGCCGTGGTGTTCGGGGAGGGGATGGGGGACATGGAGGGGGGAGAGGGGGGACAGAGGAAGGGAGAGGGAAGAAGGAAACCGAAGCCTCATACAACACGTTGCCCCCGCGCGGGGGGCCGGCGGATCCACCGAGTTACTGTCCTTCTTTGGCTTCCATCAGTCGTGAAGCGAATGGGTCCAAAGCGACACGGGTCCTGAGGTGTTTCGCCGTTTTCGGCCTCCGGGGCCTTCGGCGGGTTCTGGGGCCGCCAGAAAACCATTGAGGATGAGGAGGAGGAAAGGAGGAGGAGGAGGAGGAGGAGGAGGAGGAGGAGGAGGAGGAGGAGGAGGAGGAGGAGGAGGAGGAGGAGGAGGAGGAGGAGGAGGAGGAGGAGGGAGGAGGAGGAGGAGGAAAAGGGAGGTTGGAGGAGGGGGGGAGGGGGTAGGGAGGAGGGGGAGGGGGAGGAGCAGGAGGAGGAGGAGGAGGAGGAGGAGGAGGAGGAGCGGAGGAGGAGGCGAGAGGAGGAGGAGGAGGAGGAGGAGGAGGAGGGAGGAGGGAGGAGAGGAGGGAGGAGGGAGGAGGGAGGAGGAGGAGGGGGGGAGGGGGGAGGGGGGAGGGGGGAGGGGGGAAGAGGAGGGGGGGGGAACGAGCCAAGGAACTAGGAGGGGGAGGCGGGGGCTCAGCCGCGCGGCGCGGGCCGCGAGCGCGCCGAGGGGGGTAAACATGGCCACGTCCCCCTGTGGGCCAACCCCTCGGCGCCGAGGCCGAACGCTCACCCGGCCGGAACGCCCACCCGGCCGGAGGCGCACCCGGCCGGAGGCGAACCCGGGACTCCCTGTCCCATCCTCGCGCGCACGCGGAGGAGGAGGAGGAGGGGGAGGGGGAGGAGTACGAGAGAGGTGGACCGAGGAGGAGGACGCGGAGGAGGAGGGGAAAGGATGAGGTGGTGGAGGCGGAGGAGGAGGAGGAGGCGGTGGAGGAGGAGGAGGAGGAGGAGGAGGAGGAGGAGGGAAAAGGACGGAGGGAGGAGGGATGAGTATTAGGAAGAGGAGGAGGACGGGGGGAGGAGGAGGCGGAGGAGGCGGAGGAGGAGGGGAGGAAGGGAGGAGAGGAGGAGGCGGGGAGGAGGAGGCGGAGGAGGAGGTCAGAGGAGGGTGGGGGGAGGAGAGGAGGAGGCGGAGGGAGGAGGAGGAGGAGGAGGAGGATGCGGAGGGAGGAGGAGGAGGAGGAGGAGGAGGAGGAAGAGGAGGAGGAAGATGTGGCGGAGGAGGAGGGGAGGGGGGTGGCAGGAGGAAGGAAGATAGGAAGGACGGAAGGAAGGGAAGGAAGGAAGGAAGGAAGGAAGGAGGAGGGGAGGAGGAGGAGGAGGAGCAGAGGAGGGAGGAGGAGGAGGGCGGAGGAGGAGGAGGGGAAGAGGAGGGGATGAGGAGGGAGGGGGAGGATGGAGGAGGGAGGAGGAGAGAAGGACGGAAGGAGGAAGGAGGAGGAGGAGGAGGAGGAGGAGAGGAGGAAGAGGAGGAGGAGGAGGAGGAGGAGGAGGAGGAGCCCGCGCGGTGCGCGCCGCCCGCGGGCTCGAACCGCGCGCGTCCCCCCCCGCGCTGCGGGGGCCTGCGGTGCGCCGCGATAGGCCGTGGCGGGTGGGTGGGCCGAAAGGAGCCCGCCCGCCGCGGCCGTCGCTGGCGCGGGCGACCTGCGTGGCGACCGCAGGCGCCGCGAGCCGCGATGTCCGCGGCCGAGTTGGCCGCCAGGGCCGCTTCGGCGATTGCCGCTCTGCTGCCGGCCTTGGCTGCAGAGCGGGACACTCTGCGACAAGCAGGCCATCTAGCCAAACGTGTCCATGTCCGATTCCTTTTCATGTCGCAGGCTGTCCCTCCCCGGGCCCTGTTGCTGGCGGCGTGCGGGATTTTCTTCCCCCTCCCCCCCCCCCCTCAGAGGGGGGAAGGGCATCGCTTTCAGTTTCCGTGCAACGGCGCCCCGAGGGGTCGACGTGGCGGTCGTGGAGGACCGCGTTCAGTCGGCGTTGGAGGCGTTGGAGGACCAGTTCGACCCTTCCGCCAGGGCTGGGCGGCCTTCGGAGGGCCGAGCAGGGGTAAATCCCAGAAGGTTGAGTTGCCAGAAGCGCAAGCGTCAGGAGGCCGAGCGTGCCTTAGAGGAGGCCGCGGGCGCGAAGGACAGCCACGCTCGAACGTGGATCATTCCTCGATAAGGAAACATTGGGTAACGAATCCAGGGTATCGCGACCGATGGGCGGCAAGACGCGTGCCACCCACCTCGCCTCGAAACAGGAAGGAATGCGCCAGGGTCTGGGCCTTCGGGGGACATTCTTTATCCGATGCCCCCGCCGTATTGTGGAAAAGTCCACAGCAGGGGGTGGGGTTGGAGGAGAGACGATTTTCGTCTTGCTCCTCGGTTTTGTGCCCTCAGGAGGATGGGGGGCCGCGCCCTCCCAGCCCAGGATAAGGAGGAGTAGGATGGAGGATGGAGGTTCGAGGAAGCGGGTCGGTGTGGGGTTGCCCCGTCGCCAGGAGCATGGCAGACTGAGGGCGCTGTGGTGGGTGCGGGCGGGTCTTGTGGACCCTGCAGTGCCCGCGAGGACAGTGGCTGGGATTCTAGGCGAATTCCCAACTGGAGAATGTCAAGCCGTGTCGCAGGAGAGCGTGGGGAGAGTACGGGACGCTTTGTGCAATATAATATTGGGCATCAACCAATCCGAGATTCGTGCTTTGGCAGCTTCGGCTTGCGACGACGGCACATTCATCATGCACCGCGTGCGCGACGAGTGCTCGACGCGGTTGCGGTCGTACTCGGCGTCCGCGCACGCTGGCGCGGGGTTGCCCGTAAGGGGCCCCGCCAGCAAGATCCAAAACAATGTGATCACGATTTATGGACCTGGAGAGTCTGGCCACGTGAACGCATTGACTGAGCTACAGCCCTTGGGGCGCAAGGATGACCCTACTCTGGCGACGGCCGTCATTGGCGCCATCAGGTAATCCTTGGATTCGTTGTTGGCCGGTGGTGCTACAAGATGTTTGCACGTGCTCGTCGGTGACGGCGTCAATACCAACCAGCACGTTTGCAAGCGCGTCTCATTCCACTTCACTGAAGATGCTCGGCGCAATGGGTACACGTATCTCCTCGTCGAGTTCGTGTGCGGATCTCATGTCGGGAACCTGTGCGTTCTCGTGTCGGTGTGCGCCAGGCGTTGCAAGGATCCTGTCGAGAACGACGCCCTGTGCGCAAACGCTTCCCGGTATTTTCGCCATCTTGTTCCCGCGTACGTGGAGGAGTACGCCAGTACCTTGCGGGATTGGGTCCGAGCAGACCTCGATATGGTCATCGAGGCTGCGATTCCGGCGGAGGTTGCCGCGTCCAGGGATGCCCTTCGAGCTCTGTGCGGGGACCTGGTGTTGCCCCCAGCTATCTTGCGTTTGCTGAACAGACGGATTGGCGCCCTGGAGCACTCGGCGCCTGCGGGCGTGGACCGGGGTGCCGTCGCGGGGGGCGCATGCGCGGAGCTCTACAAATTCGCCGCGGTGGTGGACGAGCACCCCGCGCATACGCGATTTTTCACCTTCGCGATCTGCATCCACACCCTCCTGGGCATGAAGCTGCTCGGCGCTCCGTCCAGAGTCTTCCGTTTGAGCGCAGTGGCCCCCCCAGAGCGAGAACGCGGGGCGCATCTCGGACTTCGTCGCGCGGTACGACGACGCCCTGACCACAGGGCACCTCCGCCGAGCATCACTGTGCGCGCGCATAGCGGCCCATGCCACTTCCTTGGCTTCCCGCAAGTACCCTGAAGAAGGGCAGGGCCCGATCCTCGTGCAGCTCGGGGAGGACATCGTGCAGGAGAAGACATCGCAGGATTTCGCTCTCCTCGCGGCGGCTTCTGGAAAACGACCCCGCTCTGGATCTGACTGGCGTGTTCGCCCCGATGCTACTGGCGCTTTCCCACATCCTCATCAGGTTTTCAGAGTATCAGAGATGCCCGACCCGCTTGTGGGCGCTTTCCAGGAAGCTCGAGGAGGCTTACCTTCTCGGTTACCCTCTCTTAGCCCCACCCAGCCCGCCGCCCCCCCTCGGCGGCGCGCAGGGGGGGGCATGTGGGGAGGGGGGGGGGGGGGGGGGGGGAGGCTTTATTAGGAAGGCAGGGTGCTTTTAGAAGCCGTCTGCTGTCTTCAAGAAGCTTTGGGGGGGCTCTAAGAAGCGCCGGCTTTTTAGAAGCCCCCCCCCCCCCCCCCCCCCCCCCCCTCGGCGCGCCGCCGACCCTGCCCCATCCAGGCCCAGAAGTTGTTCTTTTCCGCGAAGAAGGTCTCGGCGTGAGGTCCTGGCCTGGCAGGCTGGAGGGCGCGCGGTGAAGCATGGCCTTCCGTTCCCAGGGCGCATGGTAAAGGCAGTCACACTTGTATTCCACACCTGTCTCGCTGCGTGTTCGTGTTCTTCTGGATGTAAAAGGGAAAATAATCGGCCCCCTTGCCCCCCCCTCCCCCCCCCCTCCCCCCTTCCAAGGAGGAAGGGGGGCGGGGGGGAGGGGGGGGGGGTGAGGCCGTTTTTTTTGTCGAGGCCGCTTTTTTTGGTTGAGGCAGTTTTTTTGGTTGTGGCCGTTTTTTTGGTTGAGGCATGTTTTGTTGGGGCCTTTTTTTTGTTTCTGGGGCCGTTTTGTTTTCGTTGAGGCCGTTTGTTTGGTTGGGGCCGCTTTTTTGGTTGAGGCCGTTTTTTTCGTTGAGGCAGTTTTTTTGGTTGAGGCCGTTTTTTTTTTTTTTGGTCGCTTTTTTTTTTTTTCGTTGAGCGTTTTTTTCGGTTGAGGCGTTTTTTTTTTAGGCTGAGGGGGGGAGGGGGGGGGAGGAGGGGAGGAGGAGGAGGAGGAGGAGGAGGAGAAGGAGGGGGAGGGAGGAGGGGGGGGAAGAGGAGGAGGAGGAGGAGGAGCAGCAGGAAGAGGAGAGGAGGAGGAAGAGGAGGAGGGGGGAGGTCCAGGAGGAGGAGGGGCGAGGAGGGGGAGGAGGGGGAGGAAAGAGGAAGGGGGAGGAGGGAGGAGGAGGAGGAGGAGGAGGAGGAGGAGGAGGAGGCTTCCAGGATCGAGGTTTTCGGGACGTTTCTGCTGCCCTCCTTTGTGGTGGGCCGCCCTGGGTCGCCCTCGTCGCCGACGGCCGGGGCGCAGTGGCCCCAGGGCAGCGACCCAGTGCCCAGGGGATGCCCGGCCCCAGGGCAGCGACCCAGTGCCCAGGGGATGTCGGCGGCGTCGTCGTCGTCGTCGTCGCGGTCGTCGTGGCGGGGAGGCCGCGCGTTCCTTAGCGTGCGCGAACGCATAGAGGCGCCAGAGCGCAGTAGTTTGCTTGGCGGGGCGCCCGCCAGGGTGCCGCCGAGGCGCCGGCTGGGGGGCGCCAGGCTCGCCGCCCAGCGTGCGGCGCGGCGCTCCCCCCGAGGCCTTCGGGGGCGATGACCCGACCGTGCGCTGGCGCCGTTCAGAGGCGCAGAAAGCGCACTAAGCGCCACTAAATCGTCACTCGCAGGGCGATCATGTTACCACGGCAAGGGACCATAGTCTGCCACATAACTTGTTGAGGGGCAGGTGCTCATTTCTGAAAGGGGGCGGGGCGTGGCGCGGCCGTGGCGGGCCCCTTGCTGAGGGGGTGGGGGGTGGGGCGGGGTGGGGTGGGGGGGGGGCTTGCGAGAACGAGCGCGAGGGGATTTGAGTCGTTTTTGAGGGAACGCGCTACCCCTTTGTGGGGGAACCCGCACCGCCGTGAGCGATGAAACGGCCCCTCTGGGAGGAGAAGGAGACGACCGCGAGGGCGCGGAACCCCTTGAGGGGGGGGGGGGGGCGAACCCCTCTTCGAGGGGGTGCCTCGGCGACGCCGACGACGGCGACGATGAACTTGCAATGCGTTCGCAGTTGTTGAGGCTGTAGGCCAATGGGGCTTGCCCAAGCTTTTGCGAGTGCCAGTGCTGGGTGCGTTTGCGCTCGCGGCAGCCATGGGCGGCCCTGCCGGCGTCGCCCCTCTGCTCCTGATGAGCACCCTCGTCGCGTCGTTGTGCAGCATGGCCCCGAAAAAGAAGACCGACGACAAGCCAGGCCGCGCAGCGGCAAAGAAATCGAGGGCTGCTCCGAAGGGCAGCGGGCTCGACAAGGTCGAGGCAGACAAAATGAGGTCGTGGCTCCGCTACCAGTCCGAGAGGGAGGGCGCCGACGGCAAACCTACGTCCACTGCAGAGTCAGCCCAAGCAGCGCAGGCCATGTGGAACGGAATAACAGACCCATGCGATCGGGCGCGCTTCTTGCAGAGCTTCGCAAGTGATAAGGAGAAGGCGCTAGATTGGATGGCCACCTTCGAAGAGCATTGCACGAACGAGGAGGTGCACGCCCGGTCTGGCAAGAGGGGGTACCAGAACGCATCGCAGGCGCTGGCTCTGAAGGACCTCGGCATCAGAGATTTTAAGCACATCGAGGAGGCCATGGCCTTCGTGCAGGACTGGTGGTGGTGTGTGTGTGTGTGTGTGTGGGGATAGCGCTGAGCATGGCACCGGAGAAGAATATCCTGTACTGGAAGATGAAAGGAAGAGGCCTCTTTGGAAGCAATGGTACTTCGTGGTGCGCAACGTGGGCGATGCCAAGCTCGTGGCGAAGGATTCGCGCACCTTCAAAGGGATCAGCCAACTTGAAGAATATGAAACAGCTCGAAGCAGCGGGCTCCAGGATGGCTCAGCTTCCTTCGCCCAGCTCTGCTGGGCCAGCGGAGGGGGAGGTGAAGCTCGAGAACCCGCGCTGGCCACATATCGCCGGCAAGAAGGACGAGATCGCGCGCGTGCGGCCCTCGGCAGCCGTTCCCTCGGCACTTACCCCTCTTCTGTTCTTCCAGACCCCTCGCAGATAGGGGGTGGTTTCCTCCGTCTCGCATGATGCCCCTCCTGGAGGGGGCCGCCCGTTTTTTCGCCAATGCGGATGTTGTCGTTTGCCCCCTGCTGAGGTCAACGCTCCTCAAGTATCAGAAGCAGCTGAAGGAGTTGAAACACACGAAGAACCAGTTGCTCGCGAAGGCTGGGTATCAGGATCAAGCGGGCCGCGCTCAGTTCCAGAACTGGGCGGTTGAATGCGAGAAGTGCGTGAAGAATGCGGATGACCACGAGGCGAACGTGGATATCCTCATTGCCAAAATTGACCACGTTTCTCCCGCCGGCAAGGATGCGGAGATGCACGTGCAGCTGAAGGGCGAGGCCGTTGCCGCCCACAGCACGATGGAGCACGTGTACGAGGGGATTCAGCTGTCGCCCAAGCGATTCAAGAAGTTCCTCAACTGATCTGCGTGGGCCTCGATGCATATCCATAGATAACTTTCATATGTAGGGTGGGAAGCATTGCCTCGCCCGATACAGCTATAACGTTCATTGCAGCCTGTGCGTCGACACATGCACACACATAACGCGCCACGATTCTTTCTCGCAGGGGCCCCCCTCGTGAGGGGCCGCGCGTTTTTCTGCCTGCCCCGGTTCGAAGAAAATCCCTCGCCGGAGGGGGGGGGGGGGGGGGGGGGGGGCGCAGGAGGGTGGGGGGGGAGAGCAGAGGAGAGCGAATGGAGGCATTGCAGGAGAGGATAGGGCAGGTTCTGGACAGACGGCGGTCGTGGGCGGAGGACGGGGCGGAGGGGGGGCGGAAGGTCGCGCGGATGAGGAGGCGGAGCTACGGGATTGAAGGAATCCCTCCAGGAGAGGCGCGGTGCAGAGATATGGTCATCCGTTCGCTTCCGTAGCATTGGCTCAAGGCATATCCGCAGTCGCACTCGCCTCCCGCGGGGGGGCTCGAGGGCCGCCGGCATGCTTTCCAAGCGTAAGTTGCCCTACGAAAGGCTGCAGTTGCCACCGCAGAGGCGGCTGAGAGCGACTGCGGAGGACCTGGTCAGCAGCAACGTGATCAGCGGGCAGCGCGGTGCGCAGTTGATCAATGACGCCGTCTCTGCGTCTGCGACAGGCGTTGCCGACCTGCAGACCTCTGAGACCACGTTGGGCATGAAAAACGCAGCCAGGAAATTCAGGCGCGAATTCTTCAAGAGGGGGTGGCCTGCGCTGCATCACTGCAAGGTGAGGGGCTGGGACCCCAAGTCTGAAACAGAGCAGCTGATGGATATTGCGATGCTGCTTCCACGCGGGGTCCTGTCTAAGCTGCGTCATTCTGGCGATCGGAGGGTGCTTCTGGAGACATCGAATCTCGACGGCGTGTCTTTGCGCCGCGTGCAGGATGCGAGGGTTGAGAGCGGTTGCGACGATATCGTGGCCTTGGGCGCGTGGCAGAACGGAGCCCCCTGCTTCTGGGACCGGTCGATGAGCACAGAAATCATCGGCACCATGCTGCTGGGGGCTGCAGGCAGCTGGAAAAACGCGCGGGCGCCGCTCGCTGCGTTCCTCAAAGAACATGTTGGCCCCAACACATCTGCTGATATCTTTGCTGTAGTGCAGTGGGTGTTCAGTTATCTTGCTGCGAGGCGCTGGCTGACGGCGCGGCGCGACGGGCTCCCTTTTGTCGACGCGACAGACGCCTGGAGGAAGCGGCAGCGGGGTTCTTTACAGATTGGCGGGGTGCTTTGCCAGATCAAGGGGGACTGGGAGATGATGAAGGAGGTGCTCCAATTACTTGGCTGGC